TAAGTATGAAAAAAAACCCAAAAATCCCAAAAAAATCCGAAAATCCGCTAATTTTTGGTTAATTTTTATCGTTTTTCGTTATTTTCCGTTAATTAATGGAAAATTAGCGGAAATTAACCTCTGTCCGCTATTAACGGATCCGGGTGGCCACCTCTAGATTGGCAGCGGGCGCCGGCGGAAGCGACCAGCTGGGAGGCGCCAATGCGCCTAGCGCACATCGGCTCCGCGGGTAGCGTGGCTAGGAGCCCGAGGGTCGCGAGACGGGGGGCATCGAATGCGCTCCCACAAGTGGCCGGAGTGGCCACCCGCAAGGGTGCAGGGTGCATACCCAGATTGGCGCCTCGCGGCCGCCCATTCGCGCCGCCCGCGGTGGCATGGAACGGGCCCCGCCTGTTACACGAATGGGCGTCCACGAGGCGTGATAGGCGCAGGAGGATGGGCGCCTCGCAAGCGCCCATTCGCGCCACCCACGGTTGTGTGGAACGGGCCCCGCCAATGGCGTGAGTGGGCGCCCGCCCGGCACGAGATGCACCGCACGATCGGTGCCTCGTTGGCGGCCAATCACCCCGCCCACCTGGCTTAAACGGGCCCTGCCGATGGTGCAAATGGGCGCCCACGAGGCACGACATGAGGGGAGGATTTGTGCCTCATGGGTAGCCATTCGTGCCACCCGCAGTTGCCAAGAATTGACCACGACGATGCCGCAAGTGGGTGCACCGCGGAGCGGGAGATGCGCCACACGATCGGCGCATCCCCGGCGCCCAAACACCCTACCCACTCTGCCTTGAGACGCGCCCCGCTTGTGGCGCGATTGGGCGCTCGCGGGCCACGAGAAGCGCCGGGGGATTGGCGCCTTGCGGGCACCCATTCCCACTACCCGCTCTGGCCTGCAATGGCCTCTGCAGGTGGGAGGAATGGGCACGGTGAGGCGCCAGGGGGGCCGACTGATTCGATTTGGCGGGGGTGCATTCCCGCCCCCCCGCGGTCGCCTGAAACGGCCCCTGCCAATGCCGGGAATGGCCGCCCATGAGGTGGCAAGGCGCACCCTGATTCACCCCTCGTGGCTGCCCATTCCCCCTGCCACGGTGGCTTAGAACGGCCCGCGCCGGTGGCATAAGTGGGCGCCCGCGGGGCCCCACGGGTACCACCGGATTGGCGCCTCACGGGCGCCCATTCCTGCCTTCCACGGTGGCGTGGAACTGCCTTCGTGGGTGGCGGCAATGGGCGCCCGAGTGGCAGGAGCTGGACGCCATCCATGACCTGCGCCTCCTCGGGGCCCATTCGCGCCGCCCGTGCCACCTTGTAATGAGCCCCAGGGGTTGGCGGGAACGGGCGCCTGGGAACCACGGGCATGTGCCATGACTCGCGCATCCGGGGTGCCAATTTCCGCATTCTGTGCCACATTAGAAGGGCACTTGGCGGTGGCGGGAGAGCGCGCCCGCGACACGCGCATTGTGCTCCCGGATTCACGTTTTCCGGGCACCCGTTCCTGCCGCCCTTGCACCATTGCAGTCGAAGCAGCTCCCCTCCTTGCACCACGCTGCGTTGCCTTGTGTGTCCGCTCCGCTCCCGGTCCTATTGGCTCCATCACTGGGGTTTGTCATAGGCGGGGCCCAATCACATTCGCGCTCGGTGGATTCGTGACTTGTGCTCGCTTGGCTTGCGCCCTGCTGCCCACTTCGCTGCCGACGCCTCGAAACCTTGCAGCGCGCCAATAGCAAGAAACGCGAATCGGCCGTGTCGGAATTTTACCCTTTGTCTGAGGGGCGCGCAGCCGGCGCCGCGAGGCTTGCCGCTGCGCGAAAAGGCCGCGTTTGAACGCCAACATGACAGTGGGCCTGTCGATGCATTGCGGGCTGCCACTGTGCTTTGGGGTGTACTGTGCGCAGGCCTGGCTTGACTGACGGCGGATTGTTTTAAATACTGCCGGGTTAACATCATTCACACCATCAAACTAGGCTTCCCATCACTTCCTACCCAACAAAAGGCCCATTGGCCGTGATATCTTTTGTTCCAAAACCAAAATCAAATTGTTGCACACCCTGTGCTGTTGCAAATGTACAAGAGAATCAACGTTTGGGTTCCACGCAGACCTTCATCATGGTGCCTATCACAATTCAATATGTTGCGTTGCTCACATGGTGAAATTGCAACCTGGGATATCAGTTCAACGTATCAGAGGTGATCACTATCACGAACATTCACAGTGGGGTATGTGCGAGCACTGCAGCATTGTCGATGAGCGCTGGTGTTGGCATCTGGTTAGCATCAGTGCATCTAGGGTTGCTGTGTGCCATTGGAACGTGTCTGACTCTCCGATCCCCGACAGCGGCCTTCCTGGAAGAAATGACGCGTTGGCAGTTGTAACATGAGGGAATCGGCGCAATTAGGTCGCATTCGCGGGCAGCCTCAATCGGGCCTCAATCTGCCAAGCGAATCCGTGATCATTCAAGAGACCAATCAGTGAACGCTCACTCATTGAATTTACGTGCCGGTGAGGTTTTATTGATCCACTCTACACTGTCGCTCAAGTGTATGGAAGAGGCAGGCAGAGCTGCCTGCCTGCCTGCCTCTCAATGCGACAGCTCTGTCACACACGTCGAGAATATGAGAGGCTTGTTGATGACAAAGATATTGTTGCAGAGGCAGTGGGCGAAGGCGCTATGGACTGTCGGGCACAGATATTGCCTAATTGAAGTTACATGTCATTCATGTAGTAGTTGTGATAGTCTTGCCATACTTGTAGACGCACTTTAGGTCCGAAATAAATACACGAAATACGTTGTGTTTTTCCGTATTTCTATTGTTGGCTGTATCTGTATTTTCCAAGCTTGGATTGGAGCACACATCCCAGCCAAAACGCATTGAACCCGATTTTCTTGCAACGTTATGTAGGTGCATGCGTGTGTGTGGGTGTGTTAAAGCCCGTCACCAAATAACAGCACTGAGGGAATGCCCACATTCAAATGATCCTTTGGCACTGAAGTTGTCAGATCTTGTCAAAGGTCGTGGGTAGATTGCTTGGGTGGCTAGAAACTCCGGGTGAGCACCGTCAACAGCTCTTACATTAGGGCTGTGCCGGTGGTTGGTCCAGGGATAGCTAAACTTGCCATGCACAGTGACGCATGCCCTGCTGACAAGTCAACATTACAACGAATTCACCTTCACCAATGTGGGTGGGAAGCTTCTTCAATTGAACCTTCGACTTGATTACAAGATGGCCACCTCTTCTTTCCCAGAACCAATCTTGCTACAAGCCATATGGGGTGCTGGTCCGATGCCCACCGGCAGCAGACAGGGCATATGCCTGTCGAGTTGCCGGCAAGCTCTGGTTGTATATCTCAGCCAGCTTGCAGTTTCACCCTGGGCACAACAGCCCCCGGCATGTACCCAGCTGCAGCCCTCCCATCGCCACATTAACCCATGCACACAACTGGTGCACAGCGAGAACTCTCCCAGTTAACTGACAAACCCCTGATAAGGTGTGCCCCACAATCAGAGTTTTTGAAATGGGAATGATTAAGATATGAGTGTCCATTACCCCGGTGGCGGGTCCCCCCTAGGCAGCCATTCTTCACCAGACTGCAATTTTCTTCCCCATTCACAAGACTTGTGTCCAAGCACGCCTTCTACAAACACCAGAAAAATTCCCAGATCACGTTTTGCCTGGCCTCCCAGCACATCGCGGGACCTTTGCTGTTCTACAGTGGTTGCCCATCTCTCGTGCACCTTCGGCGTTTGATGCTGCTTGCTGAGTGGCGCGAAAACCAGAGCGTCTTACCTCATGCAAGGGGCCCAGCTGGCGGCTTGATTGCTGTGCCTCCCTTGTCTCTGCCGCCGGCAGTGCAGCTGTCTTGCTCACAATCCCTACTCCATTCCTGACTCTCCTTGCCCTCACATCTGCTTCGTGCAGATGAGGTCTGTGGTGTATCTTCCCATGCCGCTGACCCCCTGCCCTCCACGTTTGGCTTCTGCCATTCGCAGGCCAGCCAACAACATCGCCTCTGACACCCACACCTGTGTAGGGATGCGACCTGGCCTGTCCTTGTGTAGAATGTCGCCAGGGGGGTCTGGGCTGCAGCTTTTTGGGTTGCGCTCTTGAGCTGTTGGGTGGTACTTGCCGTGAAGGCAGCGCAGGCATGCAGCGGGCAGCCATGCCTTTGTTTCGTTGTTTGCTCAGCACATGTGCTGACGTATTTACAGGAGGGTGAGTCGGCGCAGAGCACAGGGGAGGTCCCAAGGGTTGAGAAGAGTCTGGCTGGACAGTTGGATCTCCAGCCCTCCAGAGATGGCGCTGCAGAAGACTTCGCGGCGCAAGGCAGTAATTGTTGCTTCCGCTGATGGAGGGTGTAACCATTGGGCCACCCTCACTTGCCATCCCTAGCTTGGCACTGCCATCTTGGTCTGTTGAGCTGCCGTTGTAAACATTTGGGCCAAAGCATGGAAATGGAGCCCCAGGTAGGTTGCCACAGCCATCAGCAGGGAATCGATTGGAGGCACCAGTGAACTGGCCATCGTTTGGCTTCAGGTCAAACACAAAGGCACCAAATTTATCCTGTGCACCAGTGGGATGCTGTCTGGCAGTTGCAGCTGGTCGACTCAGTTGACCCTCAACACCTGGTGCCCGTGGACTTCTCTGCCACTGCAATGAGCACTGCGCTTCTTTGTCACCAGGCACACTGCTGTTCGAGGTGCGCAAGAGTGGTGAAGGCGTGGACACAGCAAGGCCCAGAGAGGGGGGACCCCATGAACTTGCGGTTGAGACAGTGGCACCTGGACAGTTGCCAAAGACATGGGATTGGGAATCCCCACAACCTGCCTGGGCAGCTTGGATTCGTCCATGGCATTGTTGTGCGCCGCCTTTTGCCATAAATTCCATGTGCTGCAAGGGTCCCAGCTGCCCTAGCATGCTGCAACGCCACTGGCCTTGCTCACATTTTTCTAGGCCGGTGCTCTTGCTGACACGATCGCTGCCACCTGGCTCGGTCCTTGAAACCTTTTACAACAGACAATGCACATATTTAGACAGAGATCTTGCAATGGGTAATGTGAATAAGAATGATCCACCAACATCTGAGAAGCCATCTGTGCCATTAATCTGCTGAGTACAAGTCATTTTCCTCTGGCTGGCAAAGCACTGACACCAACTGATCGGGGCAACTGTGCAGCTGAAGCATTTGTAGAGACAACAAGGGGAGCAAGGGAGCAATCTCTTCAAACTTGGCCCCTCACTCTCTTTCAACAATCACAAGTGAGCCATCGCTCCCATCAGGACTGCATGCCATTGCTGTGACAACATGGGCACAATACAACATAATGCCAGCAGAGCGGGAAATAAGTGTAAAGTGTGCAAGTTGCAAAACAGGGTGAGTCTTCACTAGCTCAAGTGGTCAAACTGTTCAACACTTGTTGAATCCAGGTGTTGTACATTAAATAGTGCAGCAAGGCACTACTTACAGCAGCAAAAATAGAAACACTAACCATGCTGTCATTCAAGTCTTCGCGAAGTCCATTTACACACATCCGACCCAGATTTAGATGTTTAGTCTTCCTTGAATCCACATCATATCTGCAGATTGGTGCATCCATGGCAACATGTGGCACATAATCTTGCCTACAAAACAAAGACCACTCAAATCAGCTGCAACCTGTGCTTTGGCTCTCAGTCAGCTCTGTTTTATGATGTGCCCTCACAATGGAAGATCAAGAACAAAAAATCGATGATCCTTTCAAGGGATAACAGTTGGAACAATCCGATAGTGAACAGAAATCTGCCCAAGCAATAGTTGTTGATGCTTTAATTTCTATGCTATGCATGCACCACGCTAAGCAACATCTGCGCAGTCTGCACATGTATTCAGGTGGAGATGTTCTAATCAGGGCAATTCGCACTATTGATAATAAGGTTCCTCATGTGTTCATGCATAGGAGGCCATAAACCACACAACAATCAATCAAATTTCTGACCAGCCATGGTGGCACAACGTAGTCATCGGAGAGGTTTCATACATGTTACGTAAGGTGTGACAACGACGGAAAGGCGTGTGCTGCTGGCTGCAGTAATGCAACTCGTTGCTTGGAACAGCTGGGTGGTGTAATGTGATGTTGGACTTTGTTTATGTCTGGCGAGCTCATATTATTCATTGGCGATTGTGGGACTACAGCATGTCAATAATCTCTCTATACAAATATGCTCTGGTTTGTTGAACATGAAATCTAGATTTCTGCTCTTCCAAATCTACGCCTTGCCTAAGAATCCCCAGGCAGCCACCAATTGACGAAGTGCAAAAAAAGGCGTGCAAGGCTTGCTGCTTGGACAAGCATGGTCCTGTCATTTGCACATGATGTGAGGCAATGCCAGCAAGAGGTTGTGGCTATGGTCGTGCAGTTCAGGTTTGTCCAGCAAAAGCACTAAGATGGTGTATACACAAATGGATCGCCTTGATGTTGAAGTTTGGTAGTGCTGACATCAATCTGTGGTTTGGTTGAGAGGTCTGCAAATCGAGTGGGAATTGTCTTGTGAGAAAATGCAGCTATGATGGCGATGGTTGAATTGGCAGCCTGTCTTGTCTCTGTATTTTCGTGATGTTGGTCATCTGAGTATGTGCAATGGTCAAGTCTCAAGTCAGCATGAATTGAAAGCTTTTGATATGATTTTTTGTCAAAATTTTATTATGTTAATGTGTTTCAGAATGTGTGCATTCTTGTGACTTCATTTACATGGAAATTCGCAGTTAAAGCTAGATCAACTGTGACAAGGACTGCTGTAAATGCACAAATGGTTTGGGCAACATGTTTTTTGTTATCTCATTCTACCCACACATATTGTGTAGGTTGAGCACAGGTCATTTGGGACTCACTTGGCATTGAATATCTTGGGCGTTTGTGCCTATTGCGCCCTGTATTGATGCCTTTCTTGTCCTCACATATCTTCCATGACAACGCTGATTAAAAGGTTCAAGAATCAAAAATCTCCTTGGAAAATGTTGCTTGAAACTATTGGTCATCTCCATTCTCTTATGGAACATTCTTAATGTACTTTTGCCCTAATTTGCAAACAAACTAACAATGAATCCCATAGTGACATGCACAATCTGCAACCACAATTCTTCTTCTCTTTTGTTACATCCAATGAAATTGCAACCACCCTGAGGAACTAACATTTATTGCATAACTTGCACCTCCAGGCCTTTGGTGCAACAGTGAACTGTATGTTATGGCATACTGGCATACTCTGGTCATCCCACATAGCATTGCCAATCTTATGCATTAATAGTACAGGCAGGTGGGGGCATGGCAATGCACAACTGTGACGCCCACCACGTCGCAAGTACTCAACTCATTATCTCATTTCTTGTCAATCGTTTTCTAACTTCTTTCCAATGCAATTGCCACCCAGGCTTCTCGTGTTGGGTTTGGCATCGTAGCTTTCCTTGGGCAATGATAGGACTATATAGAGCTATATTATGAATATGGGCATTATGATTGTGGTCACTTTTCTTGTCACAATTCTGTGTGCCACAGATTGAGCCGAATGTTGGATAGTGATTCTTAGTGTTTATTCCACAGGGCATCAAAGGCTCTACTACGTGTCTGACCGATCTTGCACCATTTCTTAGCCTATAGCAACATTACATCATCTTTAATATGATGGTTCCTGCATTGCTAGTTGTTAATGGCCATCCAATAGCGAATTCCTCATGATTTCCAATCTTCTTTGTTTGGGTTGCAAATTGTAACTTACATTTAACAAGGTGGTAATTGAAAGCTCTTGAGCTAGCACCACTTGTGGTGGCCTACAATTCAGTGAATAACCTGCAAAATCCATCATCAGCTGTTCATGATAGCGATGGATGGGCTGCTGAAAAAAGAGCAAGGAGAGGGAGTCTACGTCAGTGCACCCAATCGATGCAGAGCACACGATTCCAATGCGTTTGGTACATCACCATGACATGCAACACACTGATGCTAGGGGGGATGTGAAAATGTATACAATATTAAAGGCAATATGCTCAACTTCTTGGCTAAGCAATGGGCAAATGATGCAACACGAAGGTGTTGGCACGTGGTCACAACCTATTGGACAACGTTTTAGGGGGATCTGCTTGGATCGATTGGATAGAGCAATGGGCATCAATACGCAGGGCTGGCTACACAGAACTATGGGGCCAAGGAAAGTCATACTACGTGATCTGATGGTTTTTTACTTCTAGATGCAGCCTGTCCTTCCCATTTGTGATGATCTGCATTTGCCCCCGAGCTTGTTCTGCTGGTTAAAATTTTGGTACAGCGAGCCAAACGCTAGAAATGCATGGTCCTAACCCTTGTTGGATGCCAAATGTTTGGGCCGCGGTCCATGGCTTGATGGTGTTGTCAATTACTGATGACTCCTTTTGATGTAGATAGATGTTCTGAGGACAAAGATCCTAGTCTCTGTTCTGGCCATGTTCGCCAATGTAGAGCACCTTCAATCCCTCCTTTGGCAACGAATGCATCAATTTGGCAACGTTGCAACTTTCCATTCTCAATATTTTTTGAATTCCGTGGAGTTGAGCGCCTCCATCCATTCCCTTCTAGTTTGAAACACTTGTTCGTGACATCATTGTCAGCGGTGCTCATTGTGGCAATTCCGAACAACACCCATCAACCTAAATAGTGCTGTTGATTGCCGCATCTGGCATGCAAGTCTGTATCACAGACTGCTACATTTTGGTCCATATTGCAATGTGTATTTGTGACCAATTTCTAACGTTGGTATGGTAGCGAATGCTTACCGAATTGGATCTGAGGCCCAGCACAACAGCCCCTTATTTCTCATCTCAATTCAAGACCCTTGCACTTTGTCTGCCTTTTTACGACACATTGTCACCCTTTTTATGTCACCCTGATCTCTGTCATTTATTATTTCAATTTAACTTCCTTAAACCGCCACAATTAAAACACAAGCATGATTCTATGCTATCTACTTCCTCTTTCCAAGATTAAATGTCGTTTGTTTGAAAGACAAAATTGGTTACAAGGGCAGGCATAGAAAATTACAAAACGAGTTGCAAAATCGGAAACTTGGGTTCCAAAACCCTTATGTACCGATTTTCAAGAAGAAAAAGTGAGTCACGACCCCATTGAGCATTAGACGCAAGGTAAATTTTGGTCATTTTGGACCCCACATATCGAGGTTTACTAGTTAAAAGACACTTGACACAAAGTACTGTCAAATCCTCAATACGCAATGGAGATTTGAAATTTTGATAGCTTGCTCCAAACTTACAAGCATAACTTTTGGTGGAATTTCGTCGAAATATACACTGATGTCAGTGCGATGGAGAAGTACTGCCTCAAAGGCATAGACAACAGTTGATCTTGGACAGAGGAAGTATTACACAAGTTCGTTGGGCACATCTTACCAAGTGCTAAATCAATTACCAAAAGCACAAATTCATCAGATGGATGTTGCAATCAAGCTAAGCCTTGTCCTACTTGTTTAACATCAGGAGTATGTGGGAGGTTTCACTGGAAGCATTTATAAAGTGTAGCTGTGCTTATATGTGAGCTCATGATTCACAGAAATACTATGTGGCATCAGTCACTCAACTATAGCCAACAAGTTTGATTTGGTGTGGAAATAGAAATATAAAGTCCTTGGGCACAACCAAGAATTAGACCAGAAGCCAGAATACCCATTGACACCGCACCCAGTTTCCATCTTGCAGATAGTTGCACAAAACACTTGTCCAAGCATCCTCGCCAGCACATCTTTCGTAGAGAGGGTTGCAGGGCCTACATTGTCAACACCTACAATGAGTGCCATAAAGAATGATTGAACATAAAGATTCAGCCTCTCAAGGTGCGATCGGCACAATTATGGCATCTGGGCAAGCCAAACTGAGAGGCATAATTCTGCAACAGATGAGGCAAGAAACAAAAAGCATGCCAACTGACATTGGCGTAATATCTGGGCATTCAGTTACGAATGTGTGACATTGCCTGTCAATGCATGTGTATATTTCAAGCCTGAAACAAACAATGCGGCTTTAAAAACGTTCTGCAAAGACGCGCTCTTACATATTTAACAAGTATGTCGCATACTTGGACATGCACAATAGCATATGTTGTACAAATATTTCTTGCAGAAAAGGTCCATCTGAATATTCAACCTTGCAAATTCACCTCTTCGTCTAGCCTGACTCCCATGCTTTCCCAGACAAACTGGGTATGCTGGCAAGAGCAGCCATCCCAACTGTGCAACAATTGTGCCGATTGCCACTGTGTTCAGCAAAGCTTCAAACAAACCAAGGTTGAATTGAATTGAACTATTCTTATCGAAAGCTCCAACGGCAGGCGATGAGAACTAAGTCCAGAAACCATGGCTGCCTCCATCAAGCAACACAACACTGCCCTTCTGTGGTCTATGTTACTGGAATTATGGTTTGTGGCATCTGCCAAATGATTCCCTGCATGGGATGCCTTCAACACGACCCTGAACATTAGGCAGGAGGGACATTGCCAAGAGATGGCCGTCTGAAGATGACCGATGTGAATGGTCTGTTGGTTGCCAATGTCATGTTTGCTTTCGCCACTGCATACTGCACACTGCACCTGCTGCACAGATCCATATGCCCCACGATGCCACTAGGCATTGAACTTTGAGAGCTCATTAGGCCAAAGCGATCAGCATCATTGTATTTTGTGGCGAATTTGAAGACAAAGTTGGTGTAGATATGCTCTTGTGGTGCTGGAGCTTGACTGCACAGATGGTAATATGCATCGAACTTCTTTCGTTCACACATTACTCATGAATATGATTACATGCAGACATCATCCAACACAAACATCACTTTTAGGGATGAGCACAAAGTTTGCACCTGCAAGTTGTACAATGTAGCAGCTTTTTACAGCTTCCCTTGTTGCCTGCAATGCACAAAGGAACAGTTTTGTCCCAAGTAGGCAAAGGCGATCAACTAACTCCGTCTTCAGCAGCAACCAGCCTATGCCAATTGCACATCGCTCACCTGCAACGTCACCACCCATATGCTCATTTCCCTGCCTGCACACTCCCCCTATCAGCACCTTGCTGTCATCCCTGCTGCAAGGCTGCTCAGAATCCAGCACCGATTGGAAATTGAGCCTCACCCCCTGCAGTTTGGGCTTCTGTGTGCCAGTTGCATCAATTGCCGGAGCCGGGGAGGTCTGCATCGGGCTGTAGGGTGCCCCAGGCGCTGAGGGATCTGCAGGTTGGCAGCCTGCAACCCCAGGCTCCGCCACGTGTTCAACAGCGGCTACGGTTGGCAGAGCCAGGGCCTGAGCAATCTGTGCAGGAAAACGTGCTTCTGCCAGCAAGTGTGATTCATCGGCAGGCTCAATGACCTGCACTTCTGATTTGAATCTAACTGACGATCGTTTCCTTCCTGACAAGATAGGCAATATGGGCGCCGTACCAGGCCTGCTGTCCAATGTGCTAGGGTTTGACTGTGTGAGGGCCAGAGGAATGGGAATGGTGGTTTTGAAACGGGGGGTCACAGTACGGCTGCCACTGAACTGAGAGAATCTCTGAATTCCACATTCCACCTTCTCCACTGCTTCTCCTGCAAATGCAACATCAGGAAAAGCGTCAAGAACTTTGCAAGAAGGCACTTATTCGCTACGGCCCTAATATGGGCTGTTCTTTCATTTACATTGACCAGATCAGCCAGCAAATGCACATGACCAACTGTCAAGGTAGAAATACCAAGTGACACACAATATACTGCAAGTCGATGTCAAAACATCCACGCGCATGTGCTCATGGCTTCCACACTTTTTGCTTTGTTTCCACATTGACAGCAGAGGTTTTATGGTGCAGAAAGCAGAAAAAGGTCAAATGCATTCTTCAATGGTGGGATTTCCATGGCATGATTGGGAAATCCAACTTGCAAAATAGCAGGTGACAAACTCGCATTGGTGCCAATGGCATGACCCATCAACAATTCCACTACCTGTGTCCAATACCAATTTATTCGTAGGTTGAGAAAGTGCTTGAAGATGGGGTCTACAAGCTGTATCTAAGGTGGCTCGTACAGCCAGGAGGTAGAAATGAGTTAGAACGAATCGCTGCACTTCACTCAAATAAAAATGCAAACAAACGCTTAAGAGTGGCAGCCACTTTTCTGCTGCTGGAGTTCGAAATTCTAGGTTTTCCTTGTGCGGAGGAAATCACCAAATGGAGACTTGTCCATTTGCAATGAGGTTTCTTGACTGCTGTTCACTTCAACAAATTTGTGTGTTGGCTGTGAATTCTCTGAAGGTCTGTGATGAGGGCAATTTCCACAGCCATTATATGTTCAGTGCAAATAAAATTCACATGGTGTCGGAACTGTTCACTCCAAACCAAGAAACGCAATTGCTGTTCATGCTTAAGCGGTTGAACAGAATTTTACCAGCGTTCGATTTCCCCTTGAAAACCTGGTAGCTAAATAGCATGTTCTCTTTAGTCTTTCCTCTGTCCTAAATTTGAGTGACAGTTACAACAACAATTCGGTTTTTAAGATGGTCCCACAATTAGGATAGATAGGGTCGGAATCATGAAGGTCAATTCAAAACATTTGGAACCATCCTGATTCTTTACAGAACTGCACAGAAAGGCAAGTGGAACTGGTTGTGAAGTACACCTATAAAATTCAATTCCTTAGCAACATGCTTTGGTCCACAGCTTGCCTTTTCGTTTCAGCAGCCTGTAGTGCAGCACGGAGAAGGCATTGATGCCTTTAACATCGATGGTGCCCTCATATAGAGCGAAAGGGCAATGCCATGCACAGTCGACCCTCATTGGAGAATGTGCTTTTCAAGACTTCATGAAGTGGGCAAGGACGACTGGCATGATGTGCTGGAAACAAACCTCACAAGCTTGGTGCAAGACAAACATCTGACTCTACAGGAGCTTTTTGGAGCTGCGAAAATAAGCCTAAGGCCAACTGATTTTAAGCATTACTTGCGGAAACCCTGAATCATGTGAAACTGCCCAGACTCTCAATAAAAACCTGGGAATGGGAGTTTTGCTCATCTTTGGGGGTTAGGTGCTGCTCAGAGCTTTCTTGTCAAAAAAGGTTTGCAAGTGGCTGTGCACCAACGTGGCCCAGCCGCTGGTGTGAAGCCTGTCTAAAATTTGGGTGGGAAAGGGCACGATTTGGAATCGCACCCCAGTGCTCAGTGCGTTTGCTATTCTGAAACGAAGGCCTTAGGGCTTTGCATTTGTGTTTTGTACATGTCTGTGATAGTTTTATGGCCCCTCCAACTATAGTTGGCACAATGAAACCGCCATCCCACCTCCGCATAAGCTGCAAAGGACCATGAACAACTTCGAACTTGGATTTCAAGGCACACTAGGCTACCTTCGTACATCTCTGTGTCTACAACATGGCACACAGGCCAACCTGCGCCCTGTAGTTCTGGTCGCTTTGCTCAACGATGCCCCCTAAAGGCGGCCTGAATGCCTGGGCACAATATGGGGATTTTCAGAGCCAGCTGAAGATTTCCACTAGGCTGATATGTCTGACAGGTGCTGGTTCGAGGTGTAACTCCTCCTTTAGTACTTGACAGAATGGGTTAAAAATGTGTTTGCACACATTTCATACTTTCCTGTACTTGGTAATAATTTATGTGACGTTAGAGATGTTCGACCTGTTTTCTGAGGCCACAGTCCATGGTCGTCATTTGCTTGGGGGGGGAAGCAACAGTAATTCGAGCTGGTTCTCAGTTATCATAACTGTGATTCAAGGAATGCCTAACCCTCATATCGTTCGCTTGTTCCAGTTCTGCAGTATGGATGCTGTTTACTTACCACTGGGAATTCGACACCACATGGTCCCACACAAACAACAAGCTTTAATGTAGACAGACATTATTGGTGCAAGCAAGGGAGTGTAGACAAAAACCCACCAACTTACTTTCTTCAAAATCTTTCACTGCCCGCCAGCGTTGCTGAATGTCCTCCAATCCCCTGAGCCAGCACAACAATCAGCAAAGTGCTATTTTTAAAGAAGGGCAAGGGCATCGGAGAGAATGACAAGGCGCCCATGAAAACAAGGGCCTGCTATCAAAGCACAGACTGCCCCCCTCCCCCACCGGGCACCTGTCTAGATCCGTCTCTGGCTGGGCTCCTTTGCTCTTTCCTTCCATCAGTATGTTTGCTGCATCCTGCATCAAGGCACTGGGGCACCTTGAGAATGCTGATTGGGAATGTTGTGGTTGACAATGTGTACACAAAACTACGTCCTCTGTTCCAACTTTAATGACGGTCCTGATGGACATTTCAAATCAAAGTGGACTCGGAAGCAGAAACAATGCTAGATTGGTGGAGGCCAGATCAAAATCAGCTGGACCACTTTGCATTTGGGTTCATCGCCTCTAAGGTGCAAGGGCAATGTTTTGTCATGTTTATGTGACAAATGTAATCAAAAGCATCTGAGGGTTCATCCCACATATGACCAGAACTGCATACTGATGAATAGCGTGATAGCCGCCATTTTCGTCATGAAGCCATGACAAAACCTCGCAGGTTGTGTGTTTGTTTTTCAGATGCTGTCATAAAGCAATGGAGCTGGTGGTCGGAGCTGAAATCGCCACATCATTCTTTGCACAAACTCCAAAATGAGTTCAGAATGTCGCCGTGGACTTGCATGTATCAAAATGCTGCCCAAACTTCATAGCTTTATTTTGACCCATCTACATAGTTCCTTTGTCCCATATTGATTGTCGTCAATTTGAAAGAGAAATTTCGTTGTAGAACTGGCCTCTAAAATACAAAACGAGCACAGAATCAGAAAGGCTGGGTCCCAAAACCCTGAATTACCAATTTTCAACAAGAAGAAGTGAGGCCCAACCCCTGTGAGGTGAAGAGCAAGCTTTGGTCAGTTTTGAACGAAAATGTTAAGGTTTACTAGGCGGAGGACCCTTGCTATAAACTAATACCAAATCCACAAAGCTTAACAAATTGACTTGAGTTTTCGACCTTATACTCCAACCTCACATACATGATCCTGCACGAAGTTGCACTCACAACTGAAATCAGTATGCTGGAGAAATAATGCACCAATGTCATAGACGACAATTAACATGGGTCGGAGGAACTAAAGAAAATTCATGCAGTATGCAACAACAATATGTAGTATCATTTCCGATTCCGCAAACTAGACTGCAACTGAGCCTGCAACTGAGGAAGTACTTTGAAATCTTGTAAATAAAAACTCTCCATGTGCCCAATTTGCAGTCTTGGATACCTCCATGAGGCAGATAATCCTATTCTTCCCTTCCAACCCAACAATCGAGACTTGTCATTAGCGTACAGGTATGTAATGGTCATGACCTGATCATCGCATTTGCTCGGAACGCTCTTGCAGCTACACGATCAAGTTCAGAATGTTGAAACTGGAAATTTGAAATGGTTGATCACCTGGTACTTCCCCTTTGCCTCAGCATTGCTGGCTTTGCAAATCCAATAAGATGCAGAAGCAATATCCACCACAGTACCATAGCTATGGCAAGGCTCTTTAAATTCTCCTTGCCAGCACCACCGTAGGCGAGCTGATCTTGCACCTGCATATCAAAGAGCAAGTGCCTGTGGTTGTCTCACAGTTACTCAAGAATGCCAAGACTAGCAATGGCCAGGAATGTCAAACATAGTCATTAAACACATGTGCATAGCTTGATTAGTGCCAGCCAAAGTGTAGGTTTCTACTCTGGACAATTCTCTGTGGCCATGCAAAGTTGAGATCTCGTTGTTTCCCACATTTAGTCCATTACAGAGCTCGAATACTCCCACACAAGCATGTGCTGACAGGTGCAAACATTGATGCAGACATGTTGACTGCAGTATTTGAGTTGCAGAACCCTAAAGCTTCGCCCAACACAACTCAGTCATAGGAAGGATGGATGCCACATCCCAAGCCAGCACCTACCCGTGTAACTTGAACAGTTCCTGTGGAGCCGGGCAGGTGCATCCTGCAGTCCAAAGGCCCCGTTCCAATTCGGCAGGTCGATCTTGTCCTTCCGCTCCTTCCCTTTCCTGAGAGCAGACTTGTCGCCCCCGCGTCCTTCAAAGCGCTCCGCCATGGCCTCCCAATGCTAGCCGACCTGCCCGCATGGAAATCAAGATCACATTCGGGTTATGCGCATCGGATTGAACAAGGTGTGCCTTGAAAGCAGATCAATGGCAACACGTTGCGCCACCAGCGAGCGCAGCCTCCTTGAAGAAAACCTGCGCACTCCCCACCACACCCCAACACAGAGCCTCACACACCATCCCAGAAACTTCAAGCGTCCTTTCGATACAAACATTCCTCAATTGTCCACAATCCAATTTTCACGCATGTGACCACGGGCGGGGTCCCGGAATTCACTCGCGCCGATGACCGTTCGTGGTCCATCGGCGTCCTCAGCCGCCAGTCGCGCCACCTGATGGCAAGGAGAGTGTTGCTCATTCGCTGGGCCGCGTCACACGCGACATCGAAGCCCGCCGCATCCCCACGCACAGCTACAGGAGCCCCACTGGCAGGCGCCCGACTCCCGTTGGCATCGACACTGCCTCGCCTCCGCGGCGGCTGGGCTCGCTTTGGACAACCCGCGCACCGATTACAAGGCTATCACCCCACCTTTCCCGCCAAACGCACAGGAGCCAGAATGCCCAGTGCTGACACAGTTTTGAACTTGGGACGTGATTGTTAAGGGCGGATAGAATTACACTCTCCCGCGTTTCGTGGCAGCACACGACATATCGCTGTAGGTTGTTGGATCAATCCATGTTCACGGCTTCTACATTACAAGAAAAGCAAGAGATCAGCATTGTTCGTGAAGGCCAGAGTGTTCCTGCAGGGGAGTCCCAAGCAGTTCGGCAAAATGTTCGGCAAGAGGGAGAGTGTATCAGGTCATGTCCCAAATGTCCCAGAATGTGTCCCAATGTGTCCCGAAATGTCCCAAAGTGTCCCAAAGTGTTTCAGAGTGTCCCAACTATCCCATAAGATCCCCGGTTTGTTGCCCTATCTGACTTCTAGCAACGGTCATCACCATGTCAATATAAACATAATCCTCTCTCAACTATGCCCGTCGGACAGCCCTCAAAAAAAAATAAAAATAATATTTGTATATCACTGGCTTCATGCCCGCTGATCTGTATATCAGACAGTACCTAGTGGAGTTCTACGTTCGTCATCTGACATATGGGCATGATCTCCTCGACTTGACTCCCCCTGTGAGAGGAGTCAACCACACTATGGCGCCAGTGGATATGCTTTGTCACGAGCTCCAGGCCCTCTCCCCTCATCTGCCCCTCCACGCCCTTCGTCATGTAGAGAAGCGCATATGGTGGTATACTGATCCAACATTTGATGATCGTTTTCTTTCCCCTTCTTTCTTCGATCGGGAAACTGCGTTGGATCACATTCGCCATGCACGCGCTACTTCTACACCCCATGATTTATGGATCTTTACAGATGGGTCACTCCGCAATGATACACAACTTCACATAGATCATTGTGGCGCATCTGCAATCTTCTTCCATGGCAGAAACTCAGTTGGTCACTCCATTGCTGCTCGATTCACAAGGCATCATTCCAGTGCTCACGCGGAATTGATTGCCCTTTTCTTGGCTTGTTATCATGCCCCATACACCGGCACATTTAACCGGTGTACGATTGCCTGTGACTCCACGGCTGCTCTACAGGCCATTCAATGTCAACAAGGCGGCAAGGAATTAGCGGTCATTACCCGGCGTGCCTTGTTGAACCTACACGCTCAGATACCGATTGTACGTTTGTGGTGGATCCCTGGTCACATTGACATCCCTGAGCATGACCAGGCAGGTACCATTGCTCGGAATGTAGTTAACGACCATGATTTGTTTGAGGTCCTCCCTGTTCCCCATTCCCACAGAACTATCAGGACCTCTATCAGACGCTACTATGCCTCTCGTTTGGAGGTATTGTGGGATACCTCCCCACATAGCCGTCAGCTATACAATGTTATGCCTCGGTTCTCTTGATCCTTGAGTTGGACTGAGGGTCTTTCCCGCAATGATGTATCTACAGTGGCTCAATTTCTGATGGGCCACTACCCCACAAACCAGTATTTACATCGGTTCCATATTATCAATGACTCACAGTGCACATGGTATCACTCCCCCATAGATGATAGAGATCACAAACTATTCTATTGTCCCCGTTTTGCACTTCTGCGGCAGCAGCTGGCCAGTGAGATCCGTGACTTGACACGTGGACAGCATGATTGGAGTTGGGCTTATCTTTCAGGCTTGGGACGCCCATTCTTGGCTCGTTTCCTGAGGGCTTTTCGAAGGACCACTACGCATTGATTGTTTGATCCTTCCCATTGAGAGAGGCTATTGTTTGTCGAGACTGGGAAAGTTCGACGCTGGAAGTCAGACAGGGCATGGGATATGGGACACTCTTGGGACATCTTGGGACATTCTGGGATATTTGGGACATGACCTGATACATTCTCCTTCTGACTGAACATTCTGCTCTACTGCTTAGGACTCCCCTGCATGAAAGTTATGGATTCTATAAACAATGCCTGCATCTTGTTTTCCTTTTGTTTGGGATCCTACATCGGCTCCCGCTGGAAAAGGATCCTACTGAACTTTGAGAGTTGCAGGGGAGTTCCCTCATTTTTAGACATCTGTAATACATTTGGAATCAATATATATATATATATATATATATATATATATATATATAAAATATGATATATGATGCACTATATAATGCATATGTTGAATATTTTTAAGGGTATTCTCAAAGCAAAATATTGGTAATACTTTATCCGTTGCCCGATAAGAACCGTAGTACTTTGCTTGGTAGCATTTATTGTCAGTAGGCAATTGCCCGATCGAAGGAGGGTGGTTTTAAACTGGTTGACTGGGGCTATGGGTATGCAAACACCCCTACGCCGCGTTAACATAGTGCTAAAGGCCCGAGTGACTGTTGTGCAAGGTACATGAAGTCAACTATCATGTTTATGGGTTTCTGCCAACGGCGACGATGGGTGGGCTGCACCGGCGATTCAAACGGGGCAGTTTGAACCTAGGGTTTACTCAACCCCATCCCTTGGGATTTCTGGCCACCCCCTAGGACCGTGGGTCAGTCAAAGTACGGTATTCCGAGGTGCCGCGGGCGAGGGCGCCCTCGAGTTTGGCGGGCTTTGGCGGGGCGGCGGAGGGCGGCTATTTAGGCAGCCCCTCGGTCCCCCTCCTTATCTTGTTTCGCTTCGCACCACTGCGTTATCACACCCCGAAGGCACCGAGTGCCTTGTCCCTCCGGCTACGGCCGAGCTCTTTCTATGAACCGTTCTCTGGCCGAGCAGTGGTTGCATGACCAAGCGGTTCGGTTCAACGACGGTCCGCCTATAGCTTCTATCGACGAGGTCTGGCTGTCCGATCCCCGGCTCCTCCCACAGGCGGTGACCAACCCGGTTGTCGGGCCCCCGGGAGTCCGCTTCCCCGAGTGGTTCGACGTCTGCCGCACCTCCGAAGGCAGGCAACTCACGCTGGCCCTGGGAACCAACTCCGGTTACTTCCAGGAGTACCAAAACTGGGCCCCCTACGTTGCGTGGCAGTTCAACCTGACTGCTGCACCGATCGACTTTGTGGCCCACCCCGCTTTCCCGCCGGAATTCCAGGAGGCCCTCCTTCCATACGTCCATGCCAAAATGACCATCATGTCGTGCCTTCAGAGCCTGATTCGCCTCCAGCAAGTCCATGGCGAGCAGAAGGGCACCTCCCTCGACGGGTTGTGGAAGGCACTTCAGACCAACGTGCGCTTGGGCTAGAGGTGGCCCCATCTGTCCGTCCCCAACAAAATTTGTTTGGCTCCGTTAAAATTCTGTACAATCAACAGAATTTATGAGGGAGCCACAGAGAAAAAAAGCGTTTTACAGAAACGGGTAGGGCCATACTGACGTCAGCATAGACAACTACAGAAATCCACACAGCCTTACAGAATGAAACCAAGTGTTACAGAATTCGCGCCGCCGTCTACGGATGATAGGCACCCGCAACAGAACCGCTGTCCGGACCACAAAGGTCGACAGAATTCCATAAAAAATCGATAGCAATCGCTGCCAGGAAGGGCCCGCACTTATGATTTATAGTATGTTGTGATGGTGTGTTCTGTGTGTGTGCTGCCTCCAGCCAAGTACTGGCAGCGATCACTGCCGGGAAGGGCCCGCACTTATGATTTATAGTACGCCGGGATGATGTGTTCTGTGTGTGTGCTGCCTCCAGCCAAGTACCGGCAGCGATCGCTGCTGGGAAGGGCCAGCACTTATGATTTATAGTACGCCGTGATAATGTGTTCTGTGTGAGTGCTGCCTCCAGCCAAGTACTGGCAGCGATCGCTGCCGGGAAGGGTCCGCACTTATGATTCATAGTATGCCGGGATGATGTGTTCTGTGTGTGTGCTGCCTCCAGCCAAGTACCGGCAGCGATCGCTGCTGGGAAGGGCCAGCACTTATGATTTATAGTACGCCGTGATAATGTGTTTTGTGTGTGTGCTGCCTCCAGCCAAGTACTGGCAGCGATTCGATACGCCTCTATTCGCGACAAGCTTCCAGAATCTCAAAGTCCATGACGGATGGCAACGGAATGCCAGGAAAGGCAACGGAAAAAAACATCTTTACAGAAATTGGTGGCTGCAAACACCCCCTTGACGGACAGCTCCAGAGCCAGAAAACTGGAAGCTGACGTGGCATGAACGGCAACAGAAAACCGGCCCCGGCAAAATAACAGAAAAGTGACGGACGGATTTTTTGTCTTGAAAAAAAATACGGACAGAAAATAACAGAAAAAAAGCTGAGCGGCCACGTCTAGCTTGGGCGTAGTGCATCGCCGATTCTAGGACCCATTGAACAACGAGCCCCCTCGAGCACATTCGCAAGGAGGTCCTCAATCAGTAGCTCAAGTTGGCGACGAAGTCCGCGGCAGCTCATCATCAGGCGCAACTCAACTGCCAAGCTCCCGCGACCCCACACCCCCGGTGGTCCTTCCTCCAGTGCCAAGCATCCGCGCGCCAAACCCAAGACGTCCGGCACCCCGCCCGCGCCTC